CCCTACATAAAATGAAAATGCTAAATATTTTAAGAATGGAGTATGAAGTATGACTCTCTCAACACTGTAGTAAGTTGTAGCAAAAGAAGATGCATCTGTGATGTGTGGGCAGTGGAGAGGGTATTAGAAAACAAGCCAGGACAGTATTTCAGATGACCTTCTTTATCTTGATTCTTTTCTCTTACTTTGTTGATGAACAATCTCCAAAAAAAAAAAAAAATCTCTGTTATATAAAATCTAAGTTTATATTTATCCTTTAAATCTACTTGAAGTTACACTAAATAATATGGCTGTAACTGATTATTTTTTTAAACTGCTTTTATAGATTTTGGTTGGTTTATTTGCACAGTCTTTTAATTTGCTGTTTATTCTAGCATGGGAGCGTATTTGTCTTGGTGATGTACCCCTGGAAGATAGCAGGCACCTTTGGTTCAATTACATCATGCAATGTTTTAAACTTACATAAGAAACACCTGGGAATGAGCAGTGCTTCACAGCAGATCATCCAGAACAGTCTTGGCTCTCAGTCAGACTCGTAGAAATACTTTAAGCAATAGCAAAGTATGTAATTTCTTAGTTCATTTTACATATGTGGCACTGAATACTGTAGAAATACACTGCTAGTGAGTGTACACAGATTTATTGAGTGTATAGTAACTGGAATGGTTTTCTGCAGTTCCAGAATCGATGTCATATAAATATAATACAAATATCATAAATACAAAGAGTTATCTAAAATGATTAAAATGTACTTTACAGATAGAGAAAGGTTTATTAAGTGAAAGGAGAGAAAGGTACTGCAGGTAGTTAAGATATATACACATTTATATACATATAGTGCATATACTTACACTTGAATAAGTTAAATGGAGTATAGATGATTTTTTAAATATATGACTCCATTAACTATAGAACTCCATCCACCCATAAAGGAGGATATTTACATGAAGTATATTTGACACCATTTAATTATACAGTCATCACTGTAGCAAAGAGATACTTTGCCTTTGTCTATTTTAAAGTGAAGAAAAAAAAAAGTGAAGAAAATAATAATAGTTTGATATGAACTGTTAAAATAATCAGCTTACATATTAAAAGTACTTTCAGGAGAAAAACAATTCTATAATTTATGATACCTAAATATTAGTGGTAAAAAGTTGAGAAGAAAATAGTTAAAAAGAAGGGCTCTTGAGAATACAAAAGTGTTGAAATCTGTAGTGAGAAGCTCACCAGTGGATTAAAGTAGTAACTCAAATAGTATATTCCAAAATCATTATATAGTTAAATGATGCTAATATTGAACAATGCCTTTTTCACAGCAAGTATCAGTAAAGAGCTCCTCCATGAATGAGTATTAAAGGAGGTCTCTGAGCATCATGTGGACTTGGTAATGTAGGTTAATGGTTGGACTGGATGATCTTAAAGGCCTTTTCCAACCTAAACGATTCTATGATTCTATGATCTGTAATCAAAATCGTTTACTATATATGGCAGTGCAGAGATAAGTCCTCAATCTTTGAAGTAGTTAAAAACAAACCTCTGATATTACATGAAAGATATACATCCTTATAACTAAAGACTATATTCACAAGTCTCTACAAGACTATGTCTTGTACACATGAACATTTTTAAGGGTTCTCATTGTATAAAGCCTTCGCTTTGGAATTTCCGTATTAAGCTACTTAATAGTACCAGCCTAAAATTTCCATTCTTTCAGCTTCTTCTGTGGGCTCATATATTATTTTATGAAACAAATGTCTAAAGTTTCAAACACATTCTTAAGAAATATTTCCCTCATTACTTAAAAAGATAAAATTAGGATTCTTAAAAACCTCAGGATCCAAAAATCCCTGCTGGGTTGTGTGGAATGCTCCAGCTGAGATAATATAATAGTCTGTTACTCAAGGGAGGTAATTGCCAGTGTTTGACCTAGAACCAATCAGTTAAATATGATTTTGAGCATATCTGCAGTTCAGGATAAAATACTAGGTCCTAAAATATGCATGTATGTTGCAGGTTTAACTGAAAAGACATTTTTTTTTATGATATATGTGGTCTTCAAGAATTGAATACTGTTTTGCTGACAAAGCTATTTGTTTTACAGTTGCAATTCAAAATGCAGTTCAGATTCAGTCAAGATGATTTACTCTTTGCTTCCATTTTTTTTCAGCATATTTGTGCAATTACAATCATTCAGGCACCCAGTTGTTTGTATCCCTGTCTCTCTGACATGTTTTTATAAATTATCTCTTTTGTGAGAAATTAAGTAGGTCAGTCAAATTCCAGCTTGCTATGAATCAGGCAGCCCAGATTTATTTCAGTGCAAGCCATTAAAGTTCAGATTGTCCTTTACTGAGTCATGCATGATCAGCAATGGAAGGACATACAGAAACTGCCTGAACTTGGGCAATCAAGATAAAGGTCAGGACACTCACAGTCCATTTCTCTTCTGCTTTTCTTGCTTTCTCAAAAAGGACAAAGACCCAGTGCAGAGTCGTGGCACCATTACTCTTCCCAATCACAAAGTTTCTAATATCAAGAAGTTCCTGTTTATACTACTGACTAGTTTACAGAAGAGGTCCTTGTGGGAGTCAGTTGTGTTTTTAAGGTGCATTTTATAGAGTTTATTATGATATCTAGAATGTAGGAACCATGTTATATTTTTAGAGTAGGTCTCAAAAGAAGAAAATCATTTAGAAGCTCGTTACCCATTTCTCCCCATCTCTTATACCTTCTGCTTGTTATCCTCAAAGGGTTATGCGCACAGTAGACTTTTACTTACATTGTAAACTTCCAAAGACAGAACCAGTCTTTTGCTTTGTGTCTACATATGTATGCATGCATGTGTGTGCATATTATCTAGCACTGGAGAGTCCTGGACTATGCTTTACATAAAATCAAAATACAGATAGTAAATAATAATGATGCATGGTCTTAACTGTGTCCATCTGTTATTGCTGCCGCTCTGTGTCGTTTCTTCTCCAAATTGGTGAAGACAATTGCCAATTGGTGGCCAGGTTCCTAATTAGTCCTGAGCACATATCAGTTTTACATCAAATGCTTTAAATCTTTTGTTAGCTGTCCTTTAGATAAATAAAATCAGTGTGTGTAAGAATAATTTTTTTACATACCCTTTCTGTATCCATTCTCTGTACATATCCTCCCACCTGGTTTTCTCTTTCTACCTTTTGGGCATTTTCCCTGTGCAACACTAACAAATGTGTTATTTGCTATCATGTTATTACTTTCTTAGTTTTACAAAGGAGTCTGCAAAACATATGTATGCATCTCCAGTATCTTGGTTGGAGCTAATTCAGAATCCTAAAATTACTGCCTTTTTGTTTTTCTAATTTGACCTTTTTTTAACGCTGTAATAAGGGGATGGAGCTCCAGACCAGGAGGCAGCTGGATGATCTGCTCTGACTGTGTAGGGCTGGCAGAGTTGGCCACGGTTTCTCAAAGTGAGTTTTGAACCTTCATGTACAATGAATCCCCAGCCTTGGAGATATCAGAAGCCATCTGGACGTGGTCCTGGGCAGCTGGCTCTATGTGACGCTGCTTGAGCAGGAGGGTTGGATCAAATGACATCTGCAGGTCCCTTCCATCCTTAACCGTCCTGTGTTTCTGTGAACCTGTAACTGCATGTCTCATCTGTCCCATTCATGACTGACTTCTCCATTTCTGTGAGGGTTCATATTGCCTCAGAAGACCTGTACCAGATTCTGTTCACAAATGTATCCCTTCTTAGTATCTAATGTATCCTCCTCCAGATCAGTTCAAAGTTAACAGATCTCACTTCATGCATAGTGTCAGAGGAACTATATGGAACGTATGTTAACCTGTCCTTTTTCTCACTCTCCCCTGAAATCCTTAGTTCAAATCTAGTCATGCATTCTCATACCCATGGCACAATATTTGAGGTTTAATCACTTCAGAATTCATGTGGATTCTGTGAAAATCTAGCTTTTGTTGAGAGCCAGAAAGTCAGCGTTAGGCTAGTTCATCGTTTGAACATAGCCTCCAACTATAATGGAGAACTCTAGAGATATTGTCTTTTAGATTTTGAAGTGTACAAATGTCATACTATAAATATTGTAAAATAACAGTGTTTCCATATAACGTTGCATGGTCATTGGTCTGCACAATGAATAAATTTTGTCACATATTACCTCACAGTTGAGATGACGACCAGTAAAGGTGCTTTGAATGTTTTCATTTTAATATGGAATTAGAGACTAACTGAAAATACTGCTAGACATAAATTGTCTGTCGTCTTCTTCTCAAAGCCATATGAGGGGCTAAGACTTCAGGACCTGCGAAGGCTTAAGGATATGCTGATCGTGGAATCTGCTGACATGCTCCAAGCCCCGCTCTTTACTGCAGAAGCTCTACTTCGGGCACATGGTAATCCAAAACCTTAAAGACTAAAGAAACTGTTTTCAGCAAAATCAAAATTGCAGTTGTATGTTTACTTTTTATTTCCAAGTAAAAAAGAAGTAATGGTCAATCAGATACCAGGAAACAGTTCACACAGTACGTCAGAAAGAAGTACAGCTGCATTATGTCAAAAAACATTGAGGCAGACAGGGAAGCTGATAGGAAAGTGATTCAAAACTAGGAATTCCAGTGGAAGACATTTAAGCAGTGTGGAGAAACAGAGCTTTCCTATTTCAGTGAGAGAAACTGAAGTAGAACTCCATGGGTTTATATGTCAAAAAAGTCAAATTCATTGTACCTATTTTTGTCAGACCATTGGTTTTCTGCCACTGTGTATTTGTGTATAAAACTGGATCAATTTTTTTTTTTTTCTTGCAACAAAAGCAGTCTGACCATTGTAATAAATGGTTGGAAATTGCCTTGGGGTTTAAGGCATATGAGTATGCATCCTTTGAAGGATTTTTATAGTTACTCTTTTAATACAGGGTATACTTTTCCATGTGTATATCTGTAACTAGTTTAATTTCACTGAAATCAGTCTGTGCTCTTGTCATGTAATTTAAACTGGGGTTGTCAGAATGGGGATATACTGAATTCAGTGTGCTCACTCTGGACAAAAGTATCTCTGTAAAACAGTGGAAGCTTTAGGCTTTGATTCAGTGATTCAAAACTTATGCTTGCTGAAGCATCTGCATTGTTACTATACGCCAAAGGAACTAGTCAGGCAGTTAATGGTTTGCATGCTCATCACCATATTGCTGGATTAAGCTTTCATACCCTATTATTTTTGTGGGCCCCTTGTGAAAATAAAAGGGAGAGGGAAAAGTGAAATAGGAAAATATTACTTTAAACCCATAACATTTGGCAGACTTTACTGAGGAGGTATGGTACCTGCAACTCATCTCTTACATTACTTTCAATAGCTGGTATTTGTGTTCCTTTTAACATTGAATTAAGTCAACTTGAACTTGTGCCAGTCTGATGGTATTTAAGGCACATTCTTTGCATATATTTTTTTTAATGATGATTATTTGTTTAATTCTTATAATGTATTTTGGAATCTCAGAATAGTCTCATTAAGGCTAAATATTACTAAATATTTGACTAAGTGGGTAGGCAGATTCTGTAACCTGTGCAGATATTTTGAAGAAGCAGATGATGGCAATACTGTTCAAACTCGCAGCACAGTCCATAATAAGTTCAAAAGCAGTGAGGTTGATGTAAACTGTGGAGAAATGTCTGCCAGCATCTAGCAAGCAGGAACTGAAAGTTGAGAAGAAATCAGTCTGTGTTGGAAAGGTCATTCTGCTGATGTTGCCTTAGTGATGTAGCGGTAACTTAATGCAATTGGCCGGTGTGGAGAAAGAAACACAGACAATTTGCAAGTCATGAGAAAGTCAACTATTTTGCCTGTAGCTATAGTCATACACTGGAAATTATTCAAACAGAATTTATTTTATTTGAAATGAAGACATAGAATTGGTTCAGCCTAGGAAAGGGAATAACTGAGCTATTTACAAAGGCTTAGACAGTTGGGAAATTGTCATCAAATGCCAAATTGTAATGTTTTTGCATTTAATCTTGAAATTCATAACAGAATAATGCGAAATCTTAACTTAACTCAAACTTAATATATGAAAAGCATGTTTAAAATTCTTGGAAAGATCGTTCTTATGTACTACTTTTAATAGTTTACAGACATGTAGTATTTTATCCAACAAACTTTGCTTTCTTTTATCGTACAACTATTACCAATTTACTGACACAGGCTGTAAGAGTTAAGAGTGTATTTTCTTTTTCTTTTTCTTTTTTTTTTTTACTTAAGACACAGAATTATGTAGAGTTAGAGCCAAGATAAAAAATGTTATTATCACAGTCATGAAAATAAATAATGTTACAGTTTTTCTACAAGTGTTTTTTCACCATTGTTCCTATTTATCTTCTAGTTCATTATACAGCAGTTGATTCCAGGATATAAGAGAGGCAATTCAGCAAATATAAGTACCTCATATCTTACTAAAACTCATAAACTAGTAAAGAAAACACAGTGGAATCCATTTAGTAGCATGTCTTAACCCTGGGTAATTTTAAAGATACAGTACAAGGGAGCTCAAGAAAAATTTTAGCAAATTTTATCTGTATCTTAGCATCAGTCAGCTCCCCTCTGAAAGATTATAAGCCCAGGGTAATTTGAAAAATGCTAATAAAATTTATAATTTTTGAAGTGTAAGTATGTTCAGGGTCCATGTCTTTAAACAAACAAAATTAAACTAACCCATGATATGTTTCAGCTTAGATAAGTAAGCACATGATCAGTAAATCATCGCCAGCTCAAAGGCCTTTTTTCATATTAGGAGGGAGCAGATTTTACTATGAAAGCAATCATTATTTGACAGGGGCAATATTTTTACTAAGTTCAGTGCTTAGAACATGTATCTTTTTTTCCCAGCATTAATACAGTAGAGGAATACTATTTATCTTTTTCTATAAAATCTAAAATTCAATAAAAATAACACAGATCTTTTGGTTAATAACATTGAGTTTCCAGTGGGAGTACCTAACATTTAAAAAAAAACCCTTTAAAATATTTATTTAAAGCAGTAGGAAAAAATTGGGAAATTTCTCTCACCTTCTGAAATTCTAGTTCATCTGATCTGTGCATAGTGTTGACGGTTTTAAATTCAAATCCTTATAGGAATTTGATAGATTTATATTTAAATGAGAACTTTTAAGTACTTTTAATAGAAAAAATCACTATTCTTAATATATCTTTAGTATTACTCTTAGGAATCAGAAACAGAAAACAATTTTGAACAATGGTTTTCATTTAGTTTTAAGATCTTCATAGATCATAAAATTTGTTTCACTAGGTTTTTTTTGTATATAAATGGGCAATGTTAATTCTGAATAAAAGTAAAGCATTCAGTAACAATTATAGAATAAAAACGTAGTAAGAATATATGAAATATTTTTTGCAATCATGTGGGGTTTTTTTCTTTTTTTTTCCCCAGAAATACATCACTCTTATATACATATATAAGGACTGGTAACTCATCAGGTTGCAAATCTTTTTGTAATCCAGTTGTATCTTAGTCTTCTTCCTTCGTTTGTAGCACTTGGCTTCATCTTCTTAAAAGAACACAATAGATGAAAGTGAATCCATATTGAACAATTACTTTTTTCAGAGAAAGGGAAAATACTGAAAAGTCCGTGGTGCGAGGGCTGTTACATTTTGATCTGTCTTAGCAAGTCACTGCAGTTCTGGTTTCTGATTGGGTCCCCTAGCTACTGCAATTGCTGTAAATAAATCATAAAAATCATTTTATTTAAGACTGATATTACAGGGAAAGGAGATGCTTGCGATGCAATTATTTACAGAAATACATTGCGTTATGTATTATCTTGGAATGTGTTCTGTAAAATTTAATGTTGAAAGTTCCATTCACTTAACACTTTATCATATCTGTTTATTTCTGAATTTTTTAGCTCAGTGTTTATATATTCTTTTGAGGGTGCAGTTACAAAATATATTTTAAACATTGTCAGCTGCATAATTTCCTGTGTCTGTGTATTTATTGAAGACTGGGACAGGGAGAAGTTACTTGAAGCATGGATGTCTAATCCGGAGAACTGCTGCCAGCGTTCAGGGGTTCAGATGCCAACTCCCCCTCCAAGTGGATACAACGCGTGGGATACCCTCCCTTCCCCACGAACTCCACGCACTACTCGCTCTTCGGTAACTTCCCCTGATGAAATCAGCCCTTCACCAGGAGACATTGAGACAACTGTGGTAAGTTTATAAATAGATCTGAAACTAGCAGGGCAAAAGAGCTTATTTCTAAACATAGCGCACCTACGTGGACAGGAGAGCTGCGTTGTCATCTCATTCTGAAAAGAAGTTTGTAAAGGTGTAAAGTCTTTCTCTTTCCAAAAGTGGTGAACAGGGAAGTTGACACCTTAAACATTCTATATAATGCCACAACTGAGCATCTGGCTAATATAAAGCACTCTGTTTTCACCTCGGCTGTCACTCACAAAGTAGCATTTTAGCCAGCTACAGTCATATCAGTGCATTTGGCTCTTTTGAGCTTCTCTTCTCATCTCATACTCACCAAGATGTTCACTTCCGTTGTATCCATTTCCCTGAATGTACTCAATGCTGTGAACCCTGCCTTTTGAAAATTTTTTCTTTAGAAAACAAAATTCTCTTTGTCTGCATTTTGAAATGTCAGCCCACTAGTGTACTGTAAGCTTATAATTACTTTTACTATGTGTGGGCTGCTTCAAGCGGTTTACAAGGCTATTGCAAATTTGAAATATGAAAGCCTCTTTCATTAAAATCAGTATGGTTCTTTTGGAAGACAGAGTTCTCTTTTTAATAATCTGCAGCTGCAGCATTATAAGACTTTTGCTCCATGACCTAAGCATTTTTCTAGAATATTATATGCAGTCTTGCAAATGGATCACCCCTAGATCTCATAATAAA